CGGGCCTCTCACTGCTGTGGCCTCTCCCGTTGCGGAGCACAGGCTCCGGACGCGCAGGCTCAGCGGCCATGGCTCACGGGCCCAGCCGCTCCGCGGAATGTGGGATCTTTCCGGACCGGGGCACGAACCCGTGTCCCCTGCATCGGCAGGCGGACTCTCAACCACTGCGCCACCAGGAAGGCACTTCTTTTCCTTTTTAAGTTAACTACTACTTTATTAGTTTGAACTGAACCGTTGATTTTAGTAGTAGCTGTACTTGTATAAATAGAAAGTGAGATGTGTATAAATTAGTATTGACAATAACAGTCTATACATTCATAGAGAATTCTGTACATAAACCTGTAACGCGTTTGTGTTTACCTAAATAATAATAGGAGCTAACGTTTGTGCTATTACTAATTTACCTGGGCTATCGCATTTAATACCCATATCATTTGCAGAAGAAACTCCTCTGTAGTATTAGATTCTAATCCAAGGCCAGCAATCATTTTACCCTGCTCTAGTAGCATGAAGTTTTCTTTCAAGATATTCCCAATTACAGGACTCTATTGTTTAATGTTTAATTGTTTAATAAAATCAATTATACTTCTCCAGTATGATTCCTTCTAGGACTGAGGTCAAATGCAAGAATTAGCAAAAAGAAATCAGTGGGAGGAAATTCACAGACTCCACCTCCCATCCTCCACCCCACACACAGTTATCTGGAATAGGTTGTGCAAAAGAGAAGAATTGATGTGCCACTCTTCTGCAAAGAGACCCAGAAATTAGTAAATTATTATCTAGGAATTACATTTTCACTGTTAAATACATTGAATTGGCCTGTGTATCTGCCGCATGACAAAATTGTTACTTCAAAACTGACATTTCAAAAACTAAACTAATTATCTCACCCTAAAACTCTTCCTGACCTGTAGCCACTGTTAAAACAAGCTCTAAGGGTCAAGGTAACCTGACTCCACTTTCTTAATAATTTTTTCTCACACCTACCCCAATTATTCTCACCATAACCTCTAAGAGCATGAAGGTTATTTTTTTTTAATTGTGGTAAAATACTCATAAAATTCTCATCGTAACCACTTGAAACTGTGCAGTTCAGTGGTGCTAAGTACATTCACTCTGTTGTGCAACCAATATCCAGAACTCTTTTCATCTTGCAGAACTGAAACTCTTATATGCGTTAAACAACTCCCAATTTCCAAGGCCCCTCAGTCCCTAGCAACCATCATTCAACTTTCTATCTCTGTGAATTTGACTACTATAGGTACCTCATATAAGTGGAATCATACACTATTTGTCTTCTTGTCACTGACTTATTCCCTTAGCATAATGTCCTCACAATTGCAGTGTGTGCCAGAATTCTTCTTTTTAAGGCTGAATAATATTCCATTATATGTACATTTTATTTATCCATTCATCTGTTGACTGGGTTGCTTCTACCTTTTGGCTATAGTGAATAATGTTGCTATGAACATGGAGGTACAAATTTCTCTTTGAGACCCTGCTTTCAATTCTTGTGTGTATATACCCAGAACTGGAATTGCTGGGTTATTTGATAATTCTATTTTTAATTTTTTGAGGTACTGCCATACTGTTTTCCACAGTGGTTGCACCGTTTTACATTTCCACCAGCAGTGCACAAGGTTTCCATTTTCTCCACATCCTCACCAACGCTTTTTTTTTTTTTTGATAATAGCCATTCTAACAAGTATGAGGTGGTATTTCATGGTTTTGATGTGCATTTCCCCAGGGCCTAGTGAAGCTGAGCGTCTTTCCATGTGCTTCTTGACCATTTGTATAACTTCTTGGGAGAGATGTCCATTCAAGTACATTGTCCAGTTAAAAAATTGGGTTGTATTTTGTTATTGAGTTGTAGTTCTTTCTTTCTTGGTGGCTTCACAGGCTTGTGGGATCTTAGCTCCCCATCCAGGGATTGAACCTGGGCCCCTGCAGTGAAAGCTCTGAGTTCTAACCTCTGGACCGCCAGGGAATTCCCGTTTTAGTTTTTATATATTCTGCATATTAGCGCCTTATCAGATATATGACTTACAAATATTTATTCTCATTCTGTAGGTTGCCTTTTCACTGCTGACTGGGTACAGAAACGTCAGGCTTTTTTTTTTCTTTCATTTCTAACTTCTACAATTGTCTAACTGCTCTCTTCCATTCCTCATCTCCCGAATTCATTTCTTTCAAAACCTGCTCTCTTCTCTGGCTCTCCTGTATTTGAAGATGGTACTACTCTTTGGCAGCAGGGTCAAACGTGGAAACCATTTACCTCCTCATCCCTTGTTAGTGTCAAATTAGTGAACAACTTCTATTTACCTTCACTCTATGTATAAATCTAGTCACTACTCATTGCGTATCGAATAAGCCAGGTACTTTACAAACATTGTTATTTAACGCATCCACAATGCTGTGAGGTCAAGGGGAAAATTAAAGCACAGGGATTAAAGAAGTTAGTTACCCAAGAGTACAGAGTTTAAATGACTAAAGCAGGATTTAAACTCAGCGACCTGAGCCTGAGTTGATCTCGCAATCTGTTGCTCTGGGAACTTGCCACGGTGAGGGGCTAAGGGAGAGCGACGTTCCCTCCTAACAGCGAAACCTTCTCACTCCCCTTCGCTGCTCTCCCGCCACAGCGCCTGTCCTCCGTGGCGTTCTTCCGCCCGTTTCTGGGGCAAAAGGGCCCGCGGAGCCGGCTTTACTTCCGGTGAGGAAGGGAAAGGCGGGGGCGCCACCGGAAGCGAGGAAGGTGCTGTGTAATCACCGAGCAAGCTGAAGTCCTTGGATCTCCTAAAATGCCGGATTACCTCGGTGCAGATCAGCGGAAAACCAAAGAAGATGAGAAAGACGACAAGCCCATCCGAGGTCAGTTGACGTAGGCAGGAGCTCCGGGCCGGGGCAGGACCAGTCTTGGCCCGGGGTCCGGGATGGGGGGGCGGTGGATTCCTGCTCGGCGCTCTGTCGCTTTTGTGCCGCTAGCGATTTGAGTCTGGTGCTGCAGACGGGTTGACCGGCCTGTCCTCTCCGTCTCCCCTCTACCAGCCCCGCGTCCTGTGTTCATCTTCCGCTGATCGAAATTTTTATTCACATTCAGCTCTCAGGTCTTGAAGGAGTCACGCGCCCCGCTTGGCCTTGCAGGCCTTGAAAAGTTCCCCGCGTGGTGGTGCTTGGTCGCCTGGACCCTCTTTGCTGTCCCTCCTCCCCCTCAAATGACAGCTTGCTGTTATCACTGTACAGCCAGGATCCTGAGACATAATTTTCTTTTTTAAAAAACATTCCTTTGACTAGATAATTCATTCACATGATTCAAAACACGAAAGCGGAAAAGATAAATGGAAAAGTGTCTCATCCTTGACCCCGGCCACCTCTTATCCACGGAGGCAACTGATGTTGCCGTTTTGCCTCATCTTTCTAGGCATTTTCTGTGTACATTCAAGCAAGTTTGTTTGTATATTCCTTTTTTTTTTTTACATAAATGTAACATGCTGTACATCTTGCTTTTTAAAAAATCTTAATAAGTTCATATCATTATGTAGAGTCAGTGTGGTCTGTATAGTATCCCAAATGATTGGGTGTTCAGTAATAATCATTATTGGTGGACATTGTATACGAATGAATAACCTTGTTAATATAACTCTTTACTACATGCACAAACACAAGCCGTAGGGTAAATTTTAGAAATGAAGTTGTAATTTTTTTAATTTTTTAATTTTTTTTTATTTTTATTTTTTGCGGTACGCGGGCCTCTCACCGCTGCGGCCTCTCCCGTTGCGGAGCACAGGCTCCGGACGCGCAGGCTCAGCGGCCACGGCCCACGGGCCCAGCCGCTCCGCGGCATGCGGGATCCTTCCGGACCGGGGCGCGAACCCGTGTCCCCTGCATCGGCAGGCGGACTCACAACCACTGCGCCACCAGGGAAGCCCTGAAGTTGTAATTTTTATAGACACTGCTGGGTTACTCTCCTTAGAGACTATATCACTTGACCCTTTCCCCGCAGCACGTTCGTTCATGATTTCTTCCCAGTAGCCCCTTTTGTAAAAGCCTCATTATGCTGTTTTCTTTTGTTCCTTATAGGCTATTTTAAAACATTCTTATGGTGGATTTTTGTTGTCTTTCCTTCCTAAACAACTTCAACCTCTCCTAGCACCCTTTCTTCTTAATATTCACCCACCCCCTCAGAGAAGGAGCATTTCCTCTCCACTTTCATCTCACTCTTTTCCCTTGAAAGAGGTACTCAGTCACCTAGTGTAAAATTTAGTCACAGAGATGTAACATTTCATCTGGGTATTTCTCTGGGTAAGTTATAATTCTATAAATATATTAACAAATTTATCCCTTGGATACAGTTATGACTAATGTGTGTAGCATTCTTCTGCGCTTCTTCATCCAGGTCTTACTTGATCTTTAGAGCAACACTGAGGCTAACATTTTTCCAGGTGAGAAGACTGATGCTCAGAGAACTTAAATGGTTTTTCCAAGGTTACTTAGCAAATGCATGATCTTGCTGGGACTAGTGCTCAGGTCGTTTTGAATCTGAAAGTCTGTTCTTTGGGCTCCGTGTTCTTGTTATGTCATATCACTTTGAAGCTATGTTATGTACTTTTTAAAATCTGCCTTCACCCAGTTAGATAAAAGTTCCTTGAGTCCAGGAACTATTTGATGGTTGTGTTTATGTCATTCAACTTTTCACAGTTTTTCTCACTCAATGCAATCTGAATTGAACAGAAAAGAATTGTAAGCTCTAGTTTCTTTTGTTTGAATTCATGTATTATCTCTTTTCTTTTAGCTCTGGATGAAGGGGATATTGCCTTGCTGAAAACTTATGTAAGTCCTTTCAATGTCTACAAAATATAGATGTTTTGTGTTGAAATAAGGACTCTTGTTGGTATTGGCCTTCCAGAATAGTTGGAAGAGACTGTCCAGCTGTTTAATCTTCACTGATAAAAAGTTATCTACCTACAGTTTCTATTCAGAATAGATCAAAGAGTAAATACTCAGTGTGTCTAAGCTTATACATTATCTCTGTACTATTTGTAATTAAAGTGTGGTACTGTATTGAAAGATATTTGAAATAATTTACTATATTTAGAAATATTTACTATATTTAAAATGTATGAAAATGAATTAGATCTGAAATGGTAAGTTTTAATGCATAGAAATGGACTTGAATTTTAGATAATTTTAGGCATGATTTTCATTTGTTACCTTGCATAATGGTGTGTTGCCTGTTTAGGGGAATATATTGGTTCAGGAATAGTTCTGAAAATGATAGATTCCCTCTCTCTACTCTCATTTCACAAGCTTTAGGACAATAATAGCTATTACAAGTGTAACTGTTAAAAGTTTTTGTTTATAGTTTAATACATTGTTGGTAAACTGACCTTTATCTCCTAGGGTCAGAGCACTTACTCTAGGCAAATCAAACAGGTTGAAGATGACATTCAACAACTTCTCAAGAAAATTAATGAGCTCACGGGTATGTATATTTTTTATTTCTGTTTCCCCTCTTTATGGGTAATGGTTTGATTATATCAAAGGAGCTGAAATACCAATGTCACTCTTCCATGAATCACAGATTTAAAAAAATTATTATCCTTCCTATCTGTTAAGAAATTGGATCTCATTTAATAATCTCTTTTCATTACCTTTTACAAGAAAGTTTAATGCTTAAGCAATAAAGAAACATCATCCTTTAAGCAAGTATTGTTTCTGTTGGTCAAAGCCAAGTTCAGTTGACTATAATAAACAAGTCAGAATTTCTTCTTGAATAAAAATATGATCTCACATGGTACTGCTTGAAGTAAGTGGGCTATGGCCTAGTAGTCGGAAACTTTTCTTTTTGGGAACTTGAGTGGTGAAGTTTTATATTGATAGTATTTGACTTGCACAAAAAAATGTCAAATATGACATCGCATCACATTTTTGGCCTGTGACTACTTTAGGGCTGTGGTTTTCAACTGGGGTCATCCCCCTAGGACATTCGGCAGCATCTAAACTCATTCTTGATTCTCCCAACTTAAGGGGGAGGTGGTGCTAGTGACTAGAGGCTGGAGGCCGGGGACGCTCCTAACTATCATGGAATGCACAGGATGCCCCCCACAGCAAATTATTCAGTCCAGAATGGTAGTGGTGCTGGGGTGAGAAAGCTTGCGTTACAGTCCAGTGAATTTTGTAATCTTTCTTTACGTAGGTATTAAAGAGTCTGACACTGGCCTGGCCCCACCAGCACTCTGGGATTTGGCTGCTGATAAGCAAACACTCCAGAGTGAACAGCCTTTGCAGGTCGCGAGGTACGCATAGTGCTCTGTGGAAATTTATTTTTATCTGTACTTTCAGGTACTTTTTCAAGCCTTGCGTATAATGTAATAGTTCGTAAAGAATTTTTATGCCATATTCCAAGTAAATGCAGCTTTCTCCAAAAGTATCTGGGGTTAAAACTTTATACTTTAAACAATTATTTAAGAAATAGGTGAAGATGTAATCATATAAAAGATTCAAATGATACAGGAAGATACAGAGCAAAATATGAAAACCTTCCTTCCCATCTAACTACTGAAAATAATTTGGTCCTCTTAATCCTCCAGTGCGTCTTCATGTATATATTTACATACAAAGAAACATCCTGTTTTCTTTTTAGATATAACTACATATTTTAGAAATCTTTCATTGTCTTTGTTATAGATGTACCTTTTTTTTTTTTTTGGCTGCGCTGGGTCTTCATTGCTGTGCGCGGGCTTTCTCTAGTTGTGGTGAGTGGGAGCCACTCTTCGATGCAGCGTGCGGGCTTCTCACTGCGGTGGCTTCTCTTGTTGCGGAGCACGGGCTCTAGGCACACGGGCTTCAGTAGTTGCAGCACATGGGCTTCAGTAGTTGTGGCACGTGGGCTTTAGAGCGCAGGTTCAGTAGTTGTAGCACACGGGCTTAGTTGCTCCTCAGCATGTGGGATCTTCCCGGACCAGGGCTTAAACCCATGTCCCCTGCATTGGCAGGCGGATTCTTAACCACTGCGCCACCAGGGAAGCCCAGATGTACCTTTTTTATTTCTTGTTTCTCTTGTTTTTTAAAAATTACATAATATTCTATAGGTGGTGGGTTGTTTGCAATTTCTGTTATGATAACAGTGCTGGACTGAACACGCATGTTAAATATTTCTCTACATATGTGCATACATTTCTATAGTATAGCTTACTAAAAGTGGAATTATGGGGACAGAGGCATTTACCATTTTGAAAATGTGTGAATAAAAGTGGTTTGGCCAGTCTACACTCTTACCCAAAGGTTTTGAGGGAAATGCGTATTTGCCTGATCAATGTAAGATATGTGATTATTGATTTTTAAACTTTTGCCATTTGGGCAAAAAAATTAAAAAAAACAACAATTCACTTTTAATTTGTGTCGTGCTGATTAGTATGATAGCTACTTCTTATACTTATTAAACATTTGTATTTTTTTGACCATTCATGTTTTGTTCCATTGGATTGTTTCTTGTTAATTTATAGGAATGCTTCATATATTGTACATATTAATCTTTTCTTAAATATGTTACAAATATTTTTTCTCAGTCTCTCACTTGACTTTTAACTTCTCGGTACTTTTTGTTGTACTGTTTTAACTTTTTAGGAGGTAAATAAGATATATTAGCTTTTTCATTATACCTTTTGGGTTTTAATGTTGCTTAGAAAGGCCTAGCCCAGTCCAAGATTATAAACATGTTCTCCTGTGTTTTATTCTAATTATTGAAAGTTTTAATTTTGCCTCTTTAATACAGTTACAGGTTATTTTTCTTTCATCTTATCCTCCTTTTTCTGTCTTTCCATGCTTTCATTTATTTGCTTTTTAGTTTTATCATGGTTTTAAAAAGTTAAATAGTTCTATAACAACAGTTTTTCCTAATTCCTCTTTACTAGAGACACCTATTTTCAAAAATTTTAGGTGATTATTTTGGTTTCTGCCTTTCTATTTCTAATGGATAGCGTCAAGTTTTGTATATTGTAGATCACTTCTTGATTTTTTAGTTTTAGGTGGTGTTTATTGGTTTTCCCACCATGAAAGATGAGGATTTTGTTTTGCTTTGTTTCCTCTACCTTCATCCCAAAGACATGCCCTTCTCATCCTTACGGCCTCGTAATGTATTTTGTTAGATCCGTATTTAGTGTTTTCATAATTATGGCTAAGTAAACCCTATTCACAAAGAGCCATTAGTAAACTGTGATTACTTTTCCTTTCTTCTACCACTTTTTGTTTTCCTTGCCCTAACTGTCTCGTTTTTTCATTTGCCTTGTTGTCTATGTATATTACTAACTCAACCCCCCGCCCCCCGGTTTTTCCCGATCATCTCAGTTATTCTTCAGATGCCTTAGGTCCGTCAGGTTTTCTCATGTGTACCTCAGGTGCATCAGCTGCATCAGGTATTCTCTCAGGTTCATCTTCCTGAGCAAGCCTTTCCCAGCACTTTCTGACCTGCTTCAGTCTGGACTGGTTGCCTGAACGCCTGCTGAATCACAAGCATCCTGTGACTTCTTACCCTGGAGGTTCCCTTTGACTCTCTCCTGTTGCTCGTGTTTCACGAGTTTCTCTTTCTGATTTATTTACACCCTCATTAGGTGGCCTGTATTCTCTGGTAGCTTCCTGAAAGGGTCATTTGGGAGGTACCATTTGAGACCACATATGTCTGGAAATATCTTGGCTGATAGAAAATTCTTCTCCTTCAGAATTTTGAAGGCATTGTTACATTGTCCTCTGCCTCCCGGTGGTGTTAGTCTGAAGCCATTCTGATTCCCAGTCCTATGTATGTGACCTTTTCTTCCTCTGAAAGTTGTAGGCTCTTCCCTTGTTCTCAGTGTTCTGAAATTCCATGGCTTCGTGCCTTGGTGTTGGTGTGTTTTCAGCAGTGGTGCTGCGCTCTCATGTCCTTCAGTGTGCACATTTTCTTGAAGCTATTTATTTGTAAATAGTTTCTTTCCATTTTCTTGGTCCTCTGTTCTGGACTTGTGTTACAGAAGTATTGGACCTCCTGGAAATGCTAATCTTTCTCTCCTGCTTTTCTCGTTTTGTCTTTTTGCTCTACTTTTTTGTTAGATTTTCTTAACTTTGAGTCTATGTATTGATTTTTTTCCCTCTCACTTAAGTTTTTAATTTCCAAGAGCTTTTCTTTCTTTCAGTGTATATGTTGTGTTGTCCTGTTCTCATATCATGGTTATAATATGCTGTCAATGTCTAAGGAAGTTAAGGATGACTGGAAGGTTTCTGTTTCCTGTAAGATGCTTTTTTCCTCTTTGCTTGCTTGGTGTCTGTCTTTTACGTTAGATGTCTGATAATCTTTGTGCTTTTGTTTAGTGGGAGACCAAAAACCTAATAGAAGCTCTAGATTCAATAGTGAGGCATGTCTGTCTCAGGCTTCACTGTAGCTTATACAGTTGAATGTTTAGTTGGGGAGCCTTCAGGGTCAGTGTCTTTAGATCTTTCATTTGGATGGTCACTTTTCCCGGAGGAGTTGTCTTCAGTCTCATGTTGTCTCCAATCTCCAATATTTTGGAAGAACAGTGGAGATACAGGGCTAGGGAATGTCAGTGGCAGGTTCACTTATGTTTAATCACCCTTCCCCTCTCACCTCCACACTCTCATTTTCAGTGAAGTTACCACCACCCTACCCCTTGCCCCAGCATTTCTTGACACTTTTACTCTCCAGAATATTTTCAGCACCGCCAAAAGAAACCCCGTACCTATTAACTGTCCCTATTCCCCTCTCTCACTGGCCCCTGGCAACCACTCATCTACTTCCTGTCTCTATGGATTTGCCTATCCTGGACATTTCATATAAATGTAATCATTACAAGGCATGACCTTTTTCTGGCTTCTTTAGCTTAGCGTAGTGTTTTAAGCTTCATTCATGTTGTAGCTTGTATCAGAACATCTTTTTTTTTAATAGCCAAATTATATTCCAGTCTAATTTCTCTCTTCGTTGATACTCTCTGGTGAGACATTGTTCTCATACCTCCCATTAATTCTTTAGACATGGTTCCCTTTGGTTTTTAAAAAAATATTTATGACACTGATGAAAGTTTCTGTTTAGTAAGACCAATGTCTAGGCTTTCTCAAGGACAGTTTCTATGGACTTTTTTCCCTATGTATGGGCCATATTTTCTTTCTTTTTGTGTCTCATAATTTTTTGATAGAAACTGGACATTTTAAATAACGTCAGCTCTGGAACCCAGATTTCCCCTATCCCCAGGGTTTGTTACTGTTGCTGTTCCTTGCTGTTTTTTCTTTGAAGTTTTTTGGTCAGCCTCTTGTTAGCCCCAACTGGTAAATGCCACCTCAGACAGTTGATGTTAAACAATTGCCACCGATTGTTTCCAGTAAATGTCCTGTGGGCAGGGGCTGTGTAGACAGTGAGCTCTGAGTCCGGTCAAATAAAAGCAAGTCCTGAGAATGGAGCTTTTCAGCTAGCTGCCAGACAGGTCAAATAGTTCTCTGGGGTTGGGCTTTTGGGGAGCTCCAGTTCTTTGTCCCTGCCTTCCCCCAGGAAGGCTGCTTGTTTTCACATCTACCACAGCTGTGAGGCAGTTGGCTTTCAAGCCTTGTGCAGAGCTGGGGAGAGGGCTATGGGATGAAGGTGAATTTAAACGCAAAATGCTCGGTGTTCTTACCAGGCTTCAGCCCTTTTCTTTTTTTTTGAATAAACATTCTTTGGATTGTTACAAACCTATAGTTTGAGTTCTGAAAATGTTGATTTTGAATGTTTTTGCCAGTGTTCTCTTTGCTTTTAAGGATGAGCAGGTTTTCAAAGGTCCTTATTTAAAGTTCTGCAAGTTGAGGTCCCTGTATATATACTTTTTCAGCTGAGAATTAAAAAAATCCCTATCTGTGCAACACTGTTGGCAGGGTCTGTCAGATAAAGTAGTGATAGATACTTTCTATATATAAAATTCTACTTCCCTGGTAGACCTTTTCCAATAACAGAAAATGGAATCCTGTCCACAATTTATGCTGCAAGGACAAAGAATTCTTTACCTTACTCTTAGCTCTACCTATATGCACACGCCAGAGACTATTTTGTATTTCCCTGTATTAGTTGCTACAGCTTATGATATAAGCTCTTTCCAATATGAGTTCTGTTTTTTGTTTTTGGGTTTCTTCTGTAAGAAGATAGTATAGAAAATAGGCAGTAGACTACCTTCTACTGTGATGTATGTGGGGTTTCAGATTCGCCTTCACCACAACCCACAGGAAAAGAATATATTTAAGTTAAAAACAGCAACAGTAATAATGGATTTGAAGTATAAACTCAGGAAACAGTGGACATATTTATTACTTGACGTAAGACGAGATGACTGTCTTTTTATAGGAAAGAGTGGACATATTTATTACTTGACGTAAGACGAGATGACTGTCTTTTTATAGGAAAAATAAAAAGGAGAATACCTGAAGATATAGAGGAGTATTACTAATAAAGCCATATAGTTATGAAAATCAAGAAAGAACTTTTTTTTGTAGTTGAGCATTTGTTTTTGTTTTTTTATACAGCAGGTTCTTATTAGTTATCTATTTTATACATATTAGTGTATATATGTCAATCCCAATCTCCCAATTCATCACACCACCATCCCGCCTCCCCGCCACTTTTCCCCCTTGGTAAAGAGAACTTCTTAATGATGAAATATTTGGGTTTAATTTTCCAGGGGAATGTATCTTTTGAAATTTTTATGGCTTGGCTAAAGTTGAGCAGACCCTTGGGATTGAGCATATTCTGTAGAGAAGGATCCTTAACAGTGGCCCAGTTTCTGCAGTTCTAGTTTACACCTGCTTATTCGTGTACTGCATGCCCAGGGGAGAATCTAGTTACTTGAATTCATTATTAGTGGTTCAGGTTCCTTACTCTAATCAAGCCTTTTGCCATGTTAGGTGCACAAAGATAATCAATGCTGATTCGGAGGACCCGAAGTACATTATCAATGTGAAGCAGTTTGCCAAGTTTGTGGTGGACCTCAGTGATCAGGTTGCACCTACTGACATTGAAGAAGGGATGAGAGTTGGGTAAGATTTCTGTTTGCAGTAAATACTCGTCTTTCATTGAAGATGCCATGTCACATTCACACCCTTGGCTTGCTTTTGAATGGGTGAACTGGGTGCCATGGAATACCGGGGTAACCTGGGAGAGGGCTGCAGTTGGACAGCCTTGCTGCTGCTGCATCTGTTTCCTGACCTCCCCACCCCCACTTGGCCTTTTATGGCCTCAAATGTCATGATCAAACTAAGTACAGAATTGTAGAGTTGAGTTTGCCAGTCTATTTAAGGTAACATGGTGTAGGTGGAGGAAGCACTTGTTCTAGGATGGTTATGGGGATTAAGTGAGTTAATGTAAATAATGTATATAGAACACATGATAATTCACTCAGTAAATTTTTTGAATGTATTGGTGAGGCTCTTTTTTACCTCCTTAGTGTGGACAGAAATAAGTATCAGATTCACATTCCACTGCCTCCTAAGATTGACCCAACAGTTACCATGATGCAGGTAAGAAACCATGAGAGGGAAAAGGAATGGCATGACTAATTGCATCCATCTCATAAAAACGTTGAAACTTTTTAACTAATAAAATATTAATATGTGGGTATGTATTGAAGAGTTGCCAAAATTTTTAAAACAAATTTTCAGATGAGAAAGTCTTTATCGGTCTTTATTTTAGTAGTTTGTCTCTCACTTAGTGTCATAACAAGTAATATAGCAAGTGGGTCTAGGACACTGGGCAGTATATTCCATTTTTATTAAAATTCTTACTTGCTATAAATCTGATTTTTCTTTTAGGGTATTGGGTCTGCTCTACTGGACAGAACAATTGGATTAGTATGCAAAAGCGTGTGGCTCTATGTTGTACATTTTCATCCCTCTCTTAGGTGGAGGAAAAACCTGATGTTACGTATAGTGATGTGGGTGGCTGTAAGGAACAGATTGAGAAACTTCGAGAAGTAGTTGAAACCCCACTACTTCATGTAAGTGGTTGAGTCTGTTGCCTTTTAAATTTCTTTGTACAAAGATGTGAGCTTTTGTGTACTGTGCACTGAACTTATGCCTATATATTAGTTTTAAAATTTTATGTTTTCCTAAATGAAAATTTTTGATGGGGTAGAGGGTAAAGGTGTGGAGAACTGGTAAGTTCCAGAAGAGAAAGTAAAAGGATTGAGTCATCAAGCCTATTCAAAAAAAGAAGAATCTGCTATTTAGAGTGACGAGGTTGAGGCGTAACCTTTAGAATAGGTTGTTGTAGAAGAAACAATGTGTTTTAATGCTGTCAAGAAGAAATGGGCTTTAATTGAATCAAATTAAGCCTGGGGGGATAATGGAAAAAACTAGAATACTAAATATGAGATAATACTTTTGTTCTTTAAACACTGTAATTTTTTAAAATTAGGGAAAAAAATGTTTTGTTAACCCAGGATAATGGAAATACCTTTAAAAGCCATTCAGCCTTGTGTATTCATGAGTCTAGTTTAGATCTTATGTCTTATTCATAAGTAAAATTCTTACTTAGATTAAGTATATAAATTGTGGACTGAATAATTTTGGTTTAAATATATTGATGTAGTAGTAGTCTTGTTTTTATTATAGAGAATTGATAAGTGTAAAAATCATGTCTCCATCACAGCCAGAGAGGTTTGTTAACCTTGGCATTGAGCCTCCTAAAGGTGTGCTGCTCTTTGGTCCACCGGGTACAGGCAAGACACTCTGTGCTCGGGCAGTTGCTAATAGGACCGATGCTTGCTTCATTCGAGTTATTGGATCTGAACTTGTACAGAAGTACGTCGGTGAGGTAAAGTAAATGGATAATAATCAATATGTAGCTCTATGAAAGATTTATAAAGCATAGATGAAATTAAAATGGGAATTCCACATTGAAATTGAGACCTGAAATTTTTTGATTGATGGATTGTAATTAGTAGGTCAGAAGCCCAGAAGCCACCAGCATTCCCGTGCGGTCATTTGGAAATAAACTGCTGAACATTTTTAATCAGTATGCTCCCTACTCAGAAGGGTGACATTTTCTACAGATTTGGTTTGTAAGATCAATAACCCAGTAATGCCCAGTGAATGCATTCTAAAGTGTATTCACTTCAGGGGCAGTGTTTTATGTTCTGAGAAAGAGAACAGATTGTCTATGTGTATGTGCGTGGGTGTATGTACACACATGTATGTACACACACACACGTTTTTTTCATTAGAGAGTAAGTCTAGGGCTGAATATATTATATCTGAAACATTAATGATTAGTATACTTATAGTGAGAATTAGAAAAAGGATCTGAATGAGTTGAGATACTTTTATTCCGTTATCAAAACTTACAAATCAGATTCATTGATCAGAACTGCCAAGTGATGGATCAAATGCTTTTATTTCCTCAAGTTTTACTGATTGAAATGGTGCCTTTATTTTATTTAATCATGTTAATTTGACCTCTTCAGGTCTTAAAGTTATTGGCTATTTAATAGGTACAGGATCATGAAATTACTTAATATTGTTTTAAAGCTAATAAGATTAATTTGACAGAATAGGTAACAAACTTCAGTCTTTCTGAAAAAGCTTTAGGTAATAATGGTTGAGAATACTGTTAGGAATATTAAAAAGTTTGAAGTATAACTTATTATATTTTAAAAGATTTTAAAACCAACTCTGAATTAACACTTTTTTTCATCAGGGGGCTCGAATGGTTAGAGAGCTCTTTGAAATGGCCAGAACAAAGAAAGCCTGCCTTATCTTCTTTGATGAAATTGATGCTATTGGAGGTATGAATGGTATCTCAGAGAACTTTACAACTAGGTTTCATGAGAATTCTGTAGTAGTATGTGTAAAGTTCCCCTGATACATTAATCTTGTACAGAATTTTAAATTCCAACTCTTTTATGAGCTTTAGCACATCAGAGTCATGGATCTAATAAACTTTAGGGCCACACCATAAAGGAAAGATGAAGCATTATATAGCATTGGTATTTCTCAAAGTCTTTATCTTTGAACTTTCCCAGTTTCTTTCCTAGGGCACATATTTTCACTTTAGCAACTCCTAACTTGGGATACAGCTTCACTTAATCGGATCAGAAAGCACTGGGGCATAATTTAATTGGTGGTAGTTTTTCATAAAGTGTACATAACATTATTGGCTTCATAGATTTGATGAAATACAGTATTAGCTGTGCAATCTAGACAAGTTATTTTAACTACCTCTGAGCCCCAGTTTGCTCCTCTTATAAAAGAAATGATAATTCCAGCCTTGTTTATTTCATGGGTTTTTGAGAGGTTTGAAGTCAGTCATAAATGTGATTGACTGAAAACTGTATACTGTTCTATAGGCCTTGGCTATTGTTACAGTCTATAAGAGTAATAGTTCCTATTAGCTGCAGATACCAGACAGTTGTTATTTAATGAACTCAGTGACAAAAAAAAGTCTTAAAAAATATAGTGGATGCTGTAACACTGCAGCTACAGTCTTGCTTTTAGACTGGATGGATGTTGTGGGCTTTGGACATTCTGTAGGTAGTGTTCAAGGGCCATAATTTGACCACAGTCTGTAGATGCCGTGTTGTGAGCCTGAAGTCATTTTTGTAGTATCATTGGAATAAGCCTTATGATGTCAGGATGCTCTGAAACTGTGGCTTCCAAAACGGATTTTGTATAAAACAGTATTAGGGTGAAGGAAGAAAATACTGGTACTTTTCTTCATATCTAATTTTAATCTCATTTTTAAATTTTCTATTTTATAATGTACATAATGCATTAATACAACAGTATGTATTTATACAATTTTAAAATGAAAAAGTGTATATGGAGGCCACTTCTTGTGCTATTTTGATTGAAATGAAGAGGAGTATTGACATTGACCTAGAGTGTTCTAATACATCCAAATCAGTGTGATAGTAAAGCTGTTACAGTTCTACTGCATTATGGATTTAGCCATAGTTTTAGGAAAGTTTTGAGAAATTCAGAAGAGTATATGGCGTTTTCTTACATATACTCAAATACCATTATAGTGATAATTTTGCATGTATTCTTTTGCCTAGTCCAGGTGTATATTGTGTTGAATGGAGGTGTTCTTCAGTGACTTAAACCAAAATCCTTAGAGGATTTAAAAAAATACTTTAAAGGAACCTATGTTAAATCAACCTGTGATGAGTCCTTTTCTCGTTAGTTTTGTGTAAATCAGGCTGTTCTTACAGGATTTGCTTAAAACTGAGAGGTTCCCTTGGGCTGGAGGGTGTGATCTGAACTGAGATTTACTGAGCAGAGTGCTGCTCTGAGTAGATGTGAAGAGTGTCTTTCCTCCTGTCTTCTCAGGGGCTCGTTTTGATGATGGTGCTGGGGGTGACAATGAAGTGCAGAGGACCATGTTGGAACTGATCAATCAGCTGGATGGGTTTGATCCTCGAGGCAACATTAAAGTTCTGATGGCCACAAACAGACCTGACACTCTGGACCCCGCGCTGATGAGGCCCGGGAGACTGGACAGGAAGATTGAGTTTAGCTTACCTGATCTAGAGGTGGGAACATCATTTCACGGTAGAAAAAGGGATTCTTGAAATTTTTTCTTCCTGTGCTGTTTTCCAGTTTAATATTTGTCAATTCCCCTATTTTTAGGGTCGGACTCACATTTTTAAGATTCATGCCCGTTCAATGAGTGTTGAAAGAGATATCAGATTTGAATTGTTAGCACGACTGTGTCCAAATAGCACTGGTAGGTAGAAAGGTCTTGCTTCTATTTGCTGGTCTGTCTATTTGGGCTGCTTTAATTAAGCCTGTTATTTTCTTTTTCTTTGAAAGGTGCTGAGATCAGAAGCGTCTGCACAGAAGCTGGTATGTTTGCCATCCGAGCACGGCGAAAAATTGCTACTGAGAAGGATTTCTTGGAAGCTGTAAATAAGGTCATCAAGTCCTATGCCAAATTCAGTGCTACTCCGCGCTATATGACATACAACTGAGCCCTGGAGGTGTTCGTGAAAACACTTTTCATTGGAATCCTAACCTTATACAGACTTCTTAATAACCATTTCACACACAAAATAAGTGGTTTTCAAAATTGTATGCTTTTTTTTTCAGATGTCGTTTCTCTGTGGTACAATAAAGGGTGATATCTAATGCCGTTAGGCAGAAAAGCTGTTTTTTGACTTGCTACCATTTTTAAAGGTTCCAAATTGTGAAGTGCTTGCTTTGACCACATATGTTCTAGGCATATGCTGGTTGAGTGCTGTACATATATTATCTCATTTTATCTTCCCATCTGCCCAGTGACGTGGATTTAACAGATGCAGAATTTTCCTACCTCGTTTCCTTGTAGCAGAGCTGGGATTCAAGTCCAAGTTTGACAGCTCCATCGCCGATGTCCCCATCCATTATGCTCTTCTGCCCTCATCACAATGGCCCATCCAGGCACATGATCACATGTGTTTCGACAGGTTTTTTCCTACAACGTTGAATAAAGCAGCTTTGGCTAAACTATGTTTAAAGTGTAGGAAGCATCTGATGTAATGTGTTTTGCTTTGCCATTTGAGTTGATTTCAAATTAATCAAGAAGAACTGTTGATTTAATGACTAGCGAAGTAGTAAAGCAAAAAGAAAAACATACACATAGAATAATCTCATTTAGAAAATCCGGAATTGGCTTTATACAGAAAAGTACTTATTTTCATTTTATAAATTAATGGTTTAAAATTTCAGTAAAGCTCCCGTTAGACTTCTGGTCTATAGTGAGGTATTTCTAAAATAAAAGTTTTTATTAGAATCTTAAACAAAGCTCTTTAAAATGATTTCTTGGACAGCCACCACCAAATTCCCTCCCCTCTTCCACAATTACCCCTTCCAGGCCCCTGCCAAACACTGAGACCCAAACACAGTAAAGAATATTTTTATTGTAGTTCAGTATTCACAAGTAATGCAAAATAGTGAGAGATGGATACATTTTAACTCACAAAAGAAAAAGTTGACAACATAGAAAATGCTGTGTTGCACTGAAATATTTAAAATATGAAAGTTTTAAAGCAGAATAAAGCTGTTCACTCATAAAATCCAACCAACATGCTTTCTTTTCTCTTTTCATTTTTGTGAACTTGAGAAAATTTTTTTTCTAATCCTGCCCTAGTCTTTCATGAGGTATGAAAGCGAACCATTTCCAGGTTATGCTGATAAGTGAATGACTAAAGATGTATGTTTTTGTGCTGTTTTGATCAATGTAAGCGTTTAGAACACACTCCTTCAAGTCTTACCACTTGTTCATATTGCCACATACATCAGATGCACCAACGTGAGACAACTCAAGTTGGTTATGTGGTGCTCACTCAGGCCTAACATGTCATAGGCTGTGAATAATCTTGACATCTCAGTTTCATGATGAAAATCTAACTGGCCACACATCAAATCAATGCACAATGAATTATCTGAAAAATCTGGGTGTTTGTACCCAGGCATATGTATGCAGATAGCATCAACACTATCTAGATTAGCATGTTTGTACCCCATTTAAAAAGAAAAAATACACATTCACTGGTAACTCCCTCCACCTAAAATATGTATGTGTGCATAAACACGTGTATATGTGTGTGTACAGACATACATGTTTACACATTAGCGTGCTGATAAATCAATACAAAGGGTTTATGACTTCAGAAAAATACTGTAGTGATCCTTTAAAAAAAACTTTTAAAAAACATTTTAAAAATGTGATTAGATTTATAAAATTTAATTTTCACAAAGCTCAGGTTCATCTGTTACATAAAGCTGAAATGCTATACACCAGTACAATGAAAACCCTGGTAAGCCTTTTTTAAAGGCAAAGTGGGTTTTTGAGATACTCAAACTTGTTTAAATCCAAGTCAGTAAGCAAGCAGGTTACCTGGTGCAGTCCTGGCTTTTGAACGTTTTGCTGCTGGGATTTGAGGGGTTTCAAAACCACTGCACACATTTTGGTTAGCTATATGTTTGGAGAATTAGATAACACTTATCAGTCCTCAAACCAACTTTTATCAGCACTCAATCCATGTTATCAAGAATCTACACACTGAATCCTAAAAGCATTGCTGAAAAAAAGGACCAACAGCATTTTTGCACTCACTAAAGCATACAGGCTCATACCAAGGAACTTGTGTTTGATTTTAGAATTTGAATTAAAGGGGCAGACATAATAAAGTCGTCTTCACCACATACCCTTCCTTCCCTCAGCCCCACACAAGGGTACCCCCTCGTCCCCCACTCCCCAAACAGGACAACACACCCACCCACTCTGGGGCAGATTCTCTGGGTTTGCTACCCTCTCCACACACTGGAGGGCAGTCTCATTTTCTCAACATGTACCTTTGGAGGCAGGCACCTTCCTTTCTCTGTTAACCAGGTAAGGATACAGGATCAAACCACATGGATATTTTAGATGTTACCTGAAAACTACAAAATGCTCCTCCCAGAGCCTGCAGAGGATTCATACCCTTCACTGTTTCTCTGAGTCCCACTGCAGATGAGATTGGCATTGGGATACCTCTCAGCTGCCGTATGGTACAGTCAGCGTCTATGACCTGAATGAGGAGTTTCCCGGGCCCTGGTTCAAAACTGTTTGCAAACATATTCCATCCAGTCATGAGACAGAGAACAACCATGGTCATGTTGCACAGGATTTGAGAAAGACAACATCACTATACGGGACCTTCCTGGAAATAGGGCTTTCCCATATTTCCATAAAATAAGGCTAGTCTAGTCCCTATATCCATCAGTGTGGATTATGCCCTTTTGGATAGGGCAGTAAGAATCTGAATTTGAACCAGGGCTGAAAAACATAGAAAGGTATATACTAGCAGCTTTTAAGGTCCGGAAAGAGAGAGGTAGAAAAAAAACTTGATTGTAAGTAAAAGAATTCAGGAAATTTCCCACCGTATGAAATAACTCTAAGTAAAACATTCCAAAATATTTACATATAGATAGAATACATTTTGAAATACATTCTTATGATATCAGAGGCATGCCAAAACAAAAACATATTACCCCTCAGTAAGACTTAAATGCTTTTTATGTACATGGTAGAATTCTATTCAAAATAGGTTAAAAATTAAAGGACAGAAAAGTTAAATACAAATTTGTAAGCTACAGACAAGTACTTTTTTTGTATACTGCTTTCAATCTATCAATAACCAGGACTTGAATATCTCCTGTGTGTAAAGCATTTATTGAAGACTGGTGCTAAAGAGTACGCAATAAAATATTTTATAATATTGTTTAAAATCCTTAAGTTCTACTTTACTGGCCAAAATGATACAAGCCCTTTTATAAAAGTTTCTAGTATAAGCTGAGGTCCTATAAACTACATGCTCTTTCAGAAGGCAGTCTGTATCAGAACGCAGATGTATCTGATGATTGCAAAGGAAATAACTGACTGCAAATCTAACTTCACTCTAGATCTAGATAAAGTATTGATTAGAAAGGGGCAGGGGTCTACTCTGAATTAAATTAGTAAAGTCACTGAGAACCTGATAAGACTTAAAGCAAACAAGCCATAGGGTTTGGTTTGGACTAGACCCATGCTAACCTACTTCTTTCCTGATGCACTTTTCCCCTGGAAGTGTTTTCTTCATGAAAACTAAAACAAGGAGTCAATAAGGAAACACGTAAAACAAAAACAAAAACAATTATTAGCAGGAAATCTTAGCAGATGAGGCTTTAGGCAGGTTGGCTAATACTTGTGCTGTGATTTGGAGTGAGCAGGTGGTTAGAATTACAGGAGCAGGAACTTCTGATGACAAACTGGCTTAAAGGTCTCCCTACTCCTTTTGAACAACTGTAGAGAAAATGCTTCAAACAGCATTTTACTCACTCATCGGCTTAAAACTGAGTTTGATGAAGAATTAACTAACTCTGTGGATTTAGAAGGAAGGTATTAAATTATACCCAGGAGTCAGTTTTCTAAAATATGTGGTAAATCAGTTTTAGCAACAACAACAAAACTTCTAGGGCCTCCTACTGGCCACAGGTGTGACAATTTGAACACCAAAAAGAATAACTATAATGCACTGAACACACTACAACAATTCATGTGTATAATTATATGAAAAAGGAAAAATCAAAAAGAACCTAATTCGTCACCATCTATTAAACCAACTCCTTACTTTGAAGTTGATAACTAAATGGAAAAAAAAAAATTTAACCTGCCCTTCCAGTAAGAACTATATTTAAGGATGACTAAATAATTCAAGTTGAGGGAAAGCTGTAGTTTACACGGAAACACCAATTGATAAATGCAGAAGAAATGAAAGAATTGGAAAAGAAAATTCACACACCTTAATAAAATTGCTGCTTTAGGCAAGGATTAACACTAGACGTTAAAACCCCTGTGTGAACGGCCAATGGAGAACTGGGCATTCATTCAATGCCAAAGGAACACCATACAGATAACTCACTAGTCACAAAGGAGAAAATGTAATTGGGGGATTGGTTGTCATATTAATCCAAGTGATTTATTTTAGCATCATTAATGGTAGGTCAACTAGATATTACTTGTTTTCTGTTGTGATGCGATTTGAAGCACGTGTCGCATCTATGCACGTATCTCATCTAGCAAGAAATGTTTTATTCAAATTCATGAAGCCTTTAGTTAGACATAACTTCTAGATCATAGGTAGTTCAGGAAATAAAGGGACAAACTAAATAACACCTTGAAAAAGCGAGTGGACACACTCAGAAGATGGGATTCTACAGGACAACTGCCCCAACTCCCTTTAACAAGTCAATGTCATCAAAAAAGGGACAGTGCTAGATTAAGACACAGTTATGGGACTTAGAGGGACATGACCATTTGTAGTGTAAGGTCACAGAATGAATACTAGTTTGGATACACCAACTACAACTGTGGAGACAATTGGGGAAGTCTGAATATGATCTGAGGTAAACATGTTCTAGAATGAGAAAGCAGAGATGGATGACTGAAAAGAACAGGTCACAGAACACTATGTAGAGTATGATCTTATTTTGGTTAAAAGATGTAAATATATATGGATAGAAAAAGATTTGGAAGGACATGCATTAAGGTGTTAGCAATAATCTTTGCTGGTAATGTAATGTTTTTCTTATTTTTGCTTGTCTATATTTTCTAATTTTCTGCAATGTA